CGCCCGGGATGGTTCGGGCTCTGCTCCGCCCGGAACGGGACCGGCTCCGCTCCCTCCGCCGCCCGGTCCAATCGCGGGGTTCCCGGGACCGCTCGGCGCTGTCGCTGCAGCGAGCCCCGGGCGAGAGGTGCCGCTCTCCGGGGCTGTTKTTGCAGCTGCTGAGGAGGGAAAAGCTCTCTGAGAACACCGAGTTAACCCGGCACGGCCACTGTCCGTGTCCCCAAGTGCCACATCCACGCTRTTGAACCCTGCAGGGATKGSKACTCCACCACTGCCCAAATAYCCTCGGGGTGAAGAATYTTTTCCCAATGTCCATCCCTGACATGGTTTCTTGCCATTCCTTCAAATCCTGTCCCTGACAGCAGAGAACACCCCCTGCCCTCCCAATGTCTCACAGAACGCGATGAAGGCTCCCTTGGCTCTCCTCCAGGCTCAACAAACCAAGCAAAACAAAAAATAACATTTTAACAGCACTAGGATCAGCAAAATATTGTATTTAGCAATATCCAGTCACTTCTATTAATTCACAGCACACTAGGAAAAAGTACTTGTTTTTATAAAAGACAAAATAACTTACAAATTCAGTTAATAAAGGAGGTTTTGGMTGTGCTGTTTGGTTTCCTGTGAGGTTTGGGTCTGCCTCGAAGAGCAGATCAGCAAGCAAAGACCAAGTTGTCCTTTAAATTCAAAGCACACAATTCAGAGTATTAGATTAACCCGTTTATATAAACTGGAGTGGTTCCAAATTAATGTAAATTGGCATCACTCCTCTGGCACCACTGAGGGAGGGTTCCTGGGCCACAGGCAACACTTGGACAAGRTATAAACCATTTCTTTCATGGTAACACACWRAGAGAACTCATTTTTAGCATTTTGKAAAGTTTTGTGACTCACRTARCAGTGGAAATCATCTCTGTGGAGGTGCTACTTTTAAAGAACAGGCATGATTCTTCAACTGAGATAATTTCTTTTTACACTCCACAGCCAAGGCTGCAGCTGGAGGCCAACCTTTCTGTTGCAGAAATGCAAAAATGACATTTTCTTTTAGATTTCCATCACGACCTTAGGGCAGAAGAGTAAAAAGCAGAAAAACGACCTTGCTGTTGGCTGATTTTGTCACTACACCTCGTCAGACACTAATTAAACATTCCATGGATGCAAAATGTGAGGGAACTCATTCAAAAACTCTTTCTCGTTCTTCTTGTATTGTACCAAGGGTGAAATGCTAAAGCACAGGGCTGGCCACGAGTAATGTGATGCTGTTTGTTGTGAGCAACATGGCCAAGTCCAGCCTTCAAATCTGGCAGCTGAAACCCTGCTGATTTTCCATCATTAGCACATTCTTGARGGGAAACAAGGCCTGGCAGAGCAGGGATGAGAGGCAGGAACAGCAGAAGCTTTCTGTGGAGCTGACATCAGATGACCCAGCGGCTGTGCTTCCCTTTCTCTCTCCCTTCCTGAGTAAGCTCTGAACAGCACCAAGATGATTTACACCAATAAAATGGRAATGTTATCATCATTAGCTGAGGGATGTGCTTGCATGAGCTAACAAACAGAGCCATCAACGTGGCATTAGCAAGAAATACCCTTTGGACTTCAAATGTTCCGTCCTATTCCTGCATATTTGTGGAATCAAGTGATTCACAGCTTGTGTTTTGGAAGTTGCCCACAAGTGGGTCAAGAGTCACTGGTCAAGTAGCATCTTTGCTTCTTTATTATTTTTCCTCAATCCACCCTGGAAGTTCCCAAATCTGTGCCTATAAACCTGCAAGATCCAAAAAATGGGGGGAAAAATAGCCCAGTGTCTGCAGAGTGATGCCCTGCAGCAAAGTCTTTCCCAAATCTTTCCCAATCCCACCAAGATCCGTCAGTCCCTTTCTGTGCAGGGACTCCATGTGGCACCTGGTGACAGCAACTCTGCCCTGTGCAAAGCTCTACCCAAAGAAAATTTCTCAGTGAGCACAATGTTTATAACATTTATAAACACGATGTTTATAACATTTTTGTGTCAATGTTCCTAATCCCTGTATTTGAGCATTAGAGATGTAGATGCGGTTTTCAGTGTTCCCACATATTTTTAAAACCATTTTCAAGCTCTTTTGGAGGCAGCAGTTCCTCTTTTTTTTTTCTTTTATACAGGAGGTATGATAATACCTATTCAAAGAGGGCATTATCAAAGACCAAATAATGAATATTCTTTTTTTTTAAAAAAAAAAGTGGAAGTCATCTCAGGATGCTCCCAAAAACCTTCTCGCTCCACAAGGAGTTAATCCTCTAATGGATTTTTCACCTTTCTGAAAGATTGTCTTGGGAAAGTTCCTGCTCTGACACTCTTCTGCTGTCTCCTCCCCTCTTTGTTCTCTTCCTTCTTTCTCCGATTACAGTTCCAAAAACAACACCCAATCTCCTGAGGTCAATGGTTAATATTCCCTGGTGTTTATATAGGCTCCGAGCAGCAGATTCCAGGCCGTTCAGCACTGGGCTAGCTCCAGCACCATGGCTGTCTCCTGCCAGGCTCTGCTGGCCTGCAGGAAATACCTCATCATCGTCCTGGTGCCCCTCGTGTTCCTCCCTCTGCCTCTGGTTCTGCCTACCAAGGTAAGAACTCCTAAAATCCAATTTCAAAGCCAAACCCTCTCTGAGCTGCTCCTTTCCAGTGACAGGGTGAAGAGATTCTTTCTGCCTCGACTGCTTGGAGATCTCTCTGGTTTTATTTTTTTTTTTTTACCTGAGCATTTGGGGGTGATGGAAAAGCAGTGGGGCGTAGATGGAGGAGCAGAAACGCCTGTGGTTGCATCTCCCAGAAGAAAACTCAGTGATGTGGGATTTTGTGACTCTTGCTTTGCATCTGGCTGATTTAGCATTGGATTTTCTATGCTGAAGATTATAGGTGTGAACCCAAAGCTCAGTTTTACCCCTCTTCATTTTCTAACACTGTCCAGTCCACAACTTCATTTATTTTTTTTTTCCTTGTTGTCGTTGCCTTTGAGAAGAGGCATTTTTAGATAGACAAGACATTCTGATACAGAAGAGAAATTAATATGCATTTCAGTCTCGTTCTAACATATTTCTGTAAGAATCTTCCCTGAACAAGGATTTTAAATATAAAACACCAAGTCCTGGAAGGTTTAACACCTCGCTTAGGGTTCCTTCAGGAAAAATTGGAGCTGCAGCAGTGGGGCAGGGATTTTTGGGGTTCTGATCYTTTAAAGGGAGAGCTGTGTGCTGACAGACTGCCGGTCTCCTGCTGCTTCTTCACTGTTGCTTGCCCTCCCAACCTCTTCATGCAGAAAGATCTAATCTCTGATCTATTATTACCGCCCCAGCACCATGAAATAGTTCGTCCCAAACTGCCCCTCCCATCACTTCTCTTTGGACACCAAGTTCTAACTCTTCTCTCTGGTCTCTGCCRCCCGAATCCTGCTGGATCCCAGTTTAAATCCTTCTCCAAACTTCATCCTCCCCTTCCCTGGCTCTTCCCTGCCTGTCCCAAAGCTCTGTCACCCTCTCAGCTCTGTTTGTTGTCAGAGTTTGGAGTGATGGAGTGACACAGGAGCTGGAGCTGTGATGTGGCAACTGGTCAGGTGTGGCCTCTCAGTCCATCCCTGTGTAAATAAAATAGTTTAAATTATTACTTAAAAGCTTCCTAGGAAGGAAAAAAAGAAAAAGTGCTTTTTTTCCCCCTAGTTAACTTTCCATAAGMAAAGGAGTTACTGAAGTGAAAAGAGATCTGGATCAGGAAAGTTCTAAGGAGACAGAGAGGGATTATTTATTTTTTTTTTGTCCTGAGGCCACGAGTTCAAGYTCACTTGCTGGAGGCATTGTTACATACAGTGAGTCCTTGGAGTTACCTGTGGAATGATTTGGTTCAGTTCCTCTTTGGAAATGACTCTCCCTGGTTTCTATGCAGTCGGCAACAAGACAAAAATTGAAAATGTCCCAGATTTTTTCCCTTTGAGATCTGGAAAAACTGTTTTTTGGGGTTAAAATCGTGCGCTGCGCCACTGCTGAGCAGGAAAAGCTGGTGCCTCAGCACACAGCRGGGAGAGCCAGCAGCTACAGGGTGGAATTTCACATTTTTTTCTATTCTGTTGATCTATTAACCTGCCCTATAATGACATAGCACTGGACACTGAGCTATTATAATTGAGAGCAAACAATGTTAAAAATCTTGCTCAAAGGCAGATGAATGTCCWCACAGGAGGGCTGACTTTGGGAAAAGACCTTTTCCAGCTTTTGCTGAGAATCTGTTCAGAGCAAGATGGGAGACAGTGGCACTGTGCCTGTGAGTTACATCCCAAAACYCTTCTAGGGTCTCTCAAAAAGCCCCCATCTGTGTGTTTTTGTAACAAAAACAGAGAAAATTATGATCAAAATGGCAAATTGCTCTCAGCAATTAGTGGGATGAATAACTAATGTTTCTACTGCTCTTGTTCAAAAATAAGGCTCAAAAAGGAGTATTTTCACATTCTTGATAATCTCTTTCAGCTTTAATTCTCCAGCCTGGCTGTTTTTGTCATTCCCACCTAGATTGCTGTTTTCTTCTTTCCTGCAGACTGCTCAGCTCCCAGCTCATCCTTTCCCTTCAGCAGCTCTGTAACCTCCATGCCACGATCAGAATTCCTGAGCAGGTTCCAAAGCATCCCAAATTCAACCCTGCCACCCATTATTCCAGCTTCTTGGTTTAATCCTCTGCAATCCAGCCCCAATAAACATCACTGCAATTTCATTCACTCAGTCCAGTATATTTTAGTGGATATCCTTCATCCAAGACCACACAACCATGTTTTTTCTCTTTTKGATTTGCTGTTGCTCATTGTTGCATGAGTTCCAAGATGAGGAAGACACCAAAACCCCCAACCTTCTTCTTGCTTTCTTCCTCGGCCCAACCAAATGCCACAGTTGTGACAAGTAATTTTGAATTTTTTCAGCATCTAGGGACTCACTTAAACACTTTTGTACAAAATTTGGAGTGGTTGCCCAAAGCAGAACTAAATCAATGTTTTCTCAGAAAAAGAGTGAGGTGAAACAGGGGATCTTTCCTCAAACAAAYAAGACAAAGTCAGTGGAAGCTGAAATGATCTGTGACAGTGAACCTTTCAAAGTCTCTAGTAAGCCAAAAATCCCTTGAAAAGTCATAAAAGTGTTTACAGTACAAGGACTTTAAATGAATTGGGGTTCACATGGGCCATCACCTGAAGCCCGTGCAGAAACATGTGGAGRAGGATCAGTAACTAATCCTGCAACTCAAGGACATAAATACAGAACATAACACCATCAGCACAATCAAACCTGTGAAATGATTGCCAATCCCTTATCAAGGAAGGTCCAAAGTCGTTTATTTGTTTCTTTTCCCAATGTACTATTTTTACCTCCGCCGTCTTTCCCTCGGAGTTCTGACAGATATTGCTGCAGTTTGTCATTCGATTAGGATCTGCACATGTCAGAGGATAGATGGGGACAGAATCACAGGAAATAACCTTTCCTCTAACCCCTTTATCAGGCAATGAATGTGATTATGAGGCCTTGGCTTGTGGAGGAGCCCAGGTTCGATGTTCAGCSTGTTCTGATTGCGTGTCCCCTTGCCCTGGCAGGAGGCAGAATGTGGCTATGTGATCATCGTGATGGCACTTTTCTGGTGCACAGAAGCTCTGCCTTTGGCTGTCACAGCTCTGCTGCCCGTCCTGCTGTTCCCACTCATGAATATCATGGACTCGACGACAGTAAGAGACCTTGCTCTGTGTGTTAATCAGTCATCTTCTCTTATTCTGGGATTACTCCCTGGAATTGTATTATAATTACCATCATCAGAATTATATTGTAATTACCATCATCAGAATTACATTATAATTAMCATCATCAGAATTATTATATTTATATTATTATTCTCTGTCTTCTCCATGGACTAAAACTCACACAAGCCCGGAGTGAGCTCTGGGTGAAGCTGCAAATCTGAAATCAAAACAAATTCCCCGTTCAGACCCAACCCAACCCACTCCCTTTGGAGTCATCACCCCMAAAAAAAAAATGTCCCCTCTCTGGTGACCGTTCCCTGTGCCTTGTCCCACCTCACAGGTCTGCAGGGAATATTTGAAGGACACCAACATGCTCTTCATTGGGGGTCTGCTGATGGCCATTGCCATYGAGAACTGGAACCTGCACAAGCGAGTGGCACTGAGGGTCCTGCTCATCACTGGGGTCCGACCAGCCCTGTGAGTAACAGAGCTGGGAACGCTGTGGGATGAAGGATTTTATGGCAGCAGTTCCCATCTCCTTTGTGAATCCTCAATTTGTTCCCAACAAATGCTTCCCCGCAGCCCCAGTGAGTTATGCCTTGAAAATGGGGATTCTTTGGGGTGTTGGAGACCTAGTGCACCTTTTTTTCAGAATTCCAGAGGGTTTTAGGTGGAAAAATAGGAATGAGGGAGTCAGAAGGGTGCTGCCAGGTTGGGCTAGGAGCACAGCTTTGGATGATCAGGAAAAACCATGGCTGGAACACAGAAATCGTGGACACCCTGCCTGCTGCTGATTGCAAAGAGAAGAGAAAACACAGGGTTGCTTGTTTTGGAAACAGCAAATGTTTTCCAGCCTAGAACTTCAGGCTGTGCACAGGCTGCATCCCCCTGTTTAATCTGTCTCAGCTCAAATGAAGAGGGAACACCGAGGGAAATTACAAAGCAAYAGAATAAAAATGCACACAAGATAAACCCCTTTTCATCTGATGCATAATCTACATCTCATCCAAAGAATAATTTTTGAGACAAATAACAGAGTAATATTGAAACGAGGATTAGAATTTTAGATGAGCGAGAAGAGAATCTTAAATAATAGAGGTGGGATAAGATAACAAGAGGAGAAAAACAAAAATAAATCATCTTCCTTATGGCTTAAACTGGTTGCCATTTGGGATCAAATTCAGCTTGCAATTTCTCTTCAAAATATATTATAATGCATGAACATGTGTTACTGAGATATGACTTCTTTGGGAGGATGTGGAATAAGCAGGATCTGACTGGATAAAGTGCTTGCTGCAAGCTACCAGCTTTCACTTTCCCAGCCATAAGAATGCCAAAAAAAAAGGGTTGAAAAAGAAAAATHAATGTTAAAAATTAATGTTAAATCTTGGGCGTGTGGTTCACAAAATAGAGAAGAGTGAGACCAGCAAAGTAGTGCTGGCTGGGAAAATTGCTGAGCAGTTTCCAAATCCGGAATTTGTGGTCAAATCTTTA